TGTTAAAAATGGGCTTTGTATGCTCTTTTACCACCACAACCACCACCACCACCACCAAGATTAGCCGTGAGCCCCAAACGGTAGATCGGCCTCCACGTGGCTTGGGGTGGGTGGTTTTTTAATGAATGAACTATAGGGTCCCGAAAAGCATAGACAGTCTAACCTAATCGTGATATCGTGATATGGTTTATCTAATGAACTCCTAAATTAGATCCAGTGTTAGCTGAATCTATAAATCCAGTGTTAGCTGAATCTATAAATTTTTTGGGACGCTATATTTCTATGTTTAAATACTAGCGAACGATGCCATATAATACAGTCAAACCTCAATTCACCGTGGTTTTGAGTAAATGAATAAAAGTGCCAAATTGGGGATTCTGTTAAATTGGGGCCTGGTTAATGGAGGTTTGATTGTATATTATACTATAATACCAACGTTATAGAACTGTACTGAACCGAATCGGTTTATGACCTTATTAATTATTTTATAATTTCTCAAATAGTGTAGTGTAGTGTAGTGTAGTGTAGTGTAGTGTAGTGTAGTGTAGTGTAGTGTAGTGTAGTGTAGTGTAGTGTAGTGTAGTGTAGTGTAGTGTAGTGTAGTGTAGTGTAGTGTAGTGTAGTGTAGTGTAGTGTAGTGTAGTGTAGTGTAGTGTAGTGTAGTGTAGTGTAGTGTTGTGTGATACAATGTTGGACAACAAGATAGCGTGTAATATCGAAGCTTATATATGTTCCTAGATGCCAAGCCGATATGACCGATATAGGTACTCTTTGGGATATTCTATACATTAAATCCTTGATATACCGTGCTTGACAGGGGAAACGATAAATGTACTATTTACTTAAGTTTGCCTATGAACACGGCACACTGCACTGCATGATGAGATCATGAAAGTGGTATATCGAGGTACATATATTGTATAGCATATTCAATTGTTATATAATATATTGCTATATCCATGAATCAATTCAACCATATTGACAATTGTTAACAGTTGCAAAAGATAACCAATTACTTATAACTTAGCATGAGCGGAGAATGACTATAACCGGAAGAATACCACGTGGTGGGATGAACGACCACAACAATAACGAATAACACAGCTTATATGATCAGTCCAATATAATAACAGCAAATTTGGCCGATTTTTGAGTATTTGAGCCGTAGAATATATGGCAGATTTTTGTTTATTAACATTGCATTATCTTCTTTGCCGTGTTAATAAAGGTTTGGTTATAATCTTTTAACTTCAGGTGGAAAATAAAAGTTGCATTAAATGTAAATTAGTTGTATAAAAGTATAAATTGAACAATCGCTGTTAATAAGTGGCATGGTTAGTGTTTGAGATTCAGCTTAGTTCGAGGAATGAAATTACAGTAATAGTGCACATAATATATATCATAGAGAGGACTTTAACGGTTATATTATGGCTTTAATATTATCTTTTTTCACAGGAGTGTGGCATCCATTTAAGCCAGGAGGAAAAAGACTTGGTGACCGCACATTCGGAGCTTGAAAATACCAGCATTGGTCTTACGTTTCAATCCGAGATTGTTGAGGCATCATTGATCCAGTATTACAAAGAGGTAACCGTGCGATAACCGTGTAATCCACATTTATCGGATTTCTCTTAATTTCTTGACATATATTTTCGAGTTGTTAAATGTTGATTGTTGTATCTGTGGTCCAGGTCAATTATAAAAAATATAGTTTCAATATAATTACGTATGGTTAATGTTTTCAGGATCTTGAGATAGCAGATTTAAGACGCCATTATACCCTGGTGCGAACCGACGTCAGAAGTCGAAGACAGTAGTAGCACTTTGCAAACAGTGTTTTTTAAAACGATTTCGAGAAGCCAGTTTTGTAATAATCAGCAAGCGGCTGTGGAACTATTTGACTATTTTAAGTATTCATTTTAATTTAAGTAATTTAAATGGTACTCTACGTTCAAATCACCGATCTAAATTGTGATTTGGTTATCTTTAACCTTTGAGTGTGTTATTAAATCTACTATTAATTAATTTAAAATTGGTACTCCTAAAAAATCAATCCACTTTTAATATATAACGCAAACTAAATTCCTTTTAGCAGGGTTGGATTTTGAAATATATGTGTAATGTTCATGGAGGGCCAAGCGTGAGTTAGATACATAATTGGTACAATTATGGAGCATCGCGGCTCTAGGCAGCTCTGTTAAAACTAGATCAAAACCGACATTACGGCACGTATTGGCCTTACACAGAGGTATAATGAGACCTGAAGTGAGGTCAATACGTGCCGTAATGTCGGTTTTGATCTAAATTTAATCCAAATTCGTATCGTTTCACTTATCCTTTCAAAGTTTCAACAGAGTTGCCTAGAGCCGTGTTGCTCCCAAATCGTACCAATTATGTTATTTTTGACATATAGTCTGCAGCGCACCCAAAATGCACGGAGAAGTGTGTTTGTTTTGATATTCTGTTAAATACTATTTATGATTTATTTTGTCCTAATAATGAAGGTGTTGTTCATTCTAATCTAAGTTTAAAGGTGCTGTTATATCAAAAGTAAAATTGGTCAAATTAAATAGAATATATTTAAAAAAATATATATATATTGCGCTGATGTACCGTTTGTTCGGGTAGTGAATGAACGATAACGCTCATGAAATTTATTGGGATCATAGAGTATGGCTGATGGTAACTAGTGTTATAGTTATCTCCCGATTAGCCGTGCTTGTCGGGGAAAGGGAGATGCATGCATGGTCTAATGTGAATTTCATGCGGTAAAAAACCACTGCGTATGATAAATCGGGAGGCACGGTAAATAGGTAGCAGAGATGACTCGTGACCGCAACATTAAACATATAAGGAATTTGCCATTTATAAATGTAATTTGCACTATTATAGTGCACTGCACGGGACCCCTCAGTTTCAGTTCCTTGTTTCACAGACCGTTCAGCAAGGACATTCACTGAGTTTATCGGGTTAATAAGCACTTTCCAAAATCTATACTGCAAAATATATTTATAGCCATATTCCCACGTGTTATATGGCAATTTCTGATGCAGAATATGTAAAAGCGGTCAATATGGAACGCGCATACGTTTTAAAATCATTAACGTGGCGCAGCACGTACGTACATATAGGTGAGCCATCTCGGCCACGCGCAAAACAAAATCATTTTCATTTTCAAATTTGAAAATGGTTTTTTTTGCGCGTGGCCGAGATGGCTCACCTATATAAACGTACGTGCAAATCGTTTGCAAAATAAAAATCGTTTTCAAAATCAAAACCGTTTTCAAAATCAAAAACGTTTTCAAAATCAAAATCAATATCGTTTTCAAAATCAAAATAGATACCGTTTTCAAAATCAAAATCAATATCGTTTTCAAAATCAAAATCAATATCGTTTTTAAAATCAAAACCAATATCGTTTTTAAAATCAAAATCGATATCGTTTTTAAAGTCAAAATCAATATCGTTTTCGAAATCAAAATCAAAATTGAAATCAAAATCAAAATTTAAATCAAAATCAAAATCAAAATCGAAATCAAAACCGTTTTCAAAATGAGAATTGTTTTTAATTTCAATATGAAAATCGTTTTTAATTTAAATTTTAAAATAATTTTAGAAATCAAATTTAAAATCGTTTTTATTTTGTGATTAATTGTATAATTAATTTTTAAATTACAAATTTTCAGTGAAAATTTAGGTGAGCCATCTCGGCCGCCATACATATGTGCTAGAGAAGACTTTTGAAGCAGTGGATGGAGGGCTGTAACTTTATTGGCGGTTGCTACCATAATTTCGTTATAAAAATCACAATTTGGTTATAGAAATCAGATTTCAGGGTGGACCGTGATTCTCACTTTTCTTGCCCATGAAGTGAGTAAACTGTGCCACTATTTCATGGTCCACGGTGGATTGATTACTGGAGCAGTTGAAGATGCAAAGCCAAGACGTTCCCCAATACCAAGCGGTGGGCAGGAAATTAAGCTCCGGCTGACCTTCAGAGCAGTGGCCCATTAGCGGACAAAATGAAAGTTTTGTTAAGACAACAATACAACTTCGAATTTGACTGTCAGCAGCAGGGTGATATAAATAATGATAATGGAGGGGACATTAGCGATAATGAGAATGAGAATACGCTTTAATGAAGATTTGACTTATTATTGCTATAGATTTATTTTCCTTCAAATACTAGACGTGTCTTTTTTTCTATTTCTGAGTAATATCAGTAACTGTAAATTGAAATAGCTTCTTTAACAAGTAACAAAAACAGAAATTTCGGTTGAAAATTTGTTGACCTCTGAAAAAAAACTTGAAAGGTCGGCCACCGGTAAATACATGACCGGGATAATTTGGCGGGTTTTGGGAAATTCCTCCATATTTTTCCCGGTTATTAATTTTCCCAGTCATAAATTAACCCGCTATAATATTCCCGAGTAAGGTATGCAAGGGGAGAGAGTAGAATTAATGCCCACCAGCGCTATTATATGTCCTGATAACGCTAAAAGTTAACAAACGAAGACTGCTAGCGTCTGCCTTAGATAAATTAGCACTTAAAACTAAATTGTTTTAAATGCAAATAAAATAATGGAACGACTCACATTCTAAACACAGTTTAAAAACAGGTACTAATTAATTAACATGGCCATTGGTTAACACACATACATAAACACGTAGGGTAAGTGGTAAGTATAGGAATTATATTTTAATGACGAGAAATAATTTAATGATAAAAACATCTAGCAACCTTTTTGTCAAATTCGGCGTTCATCTTTACTTGTTTTCCATATTCATTATCCATAGTCGGTAATAGAATACGAATTTCGAACATCTATCAGTGTAAAAACCTATGAAGGCGTCCAGAAATGATCTCATGGGTTTTGGGCATTTTCTTATCCATTGCCTAATTTTCCCAAACTCTCGAATTATGGACAATGGACATCCACCCCTCACCCTACTGATTTAATTTCTGCATGACCCCAAAAGTAAGACGAATCTCATTGTTTCAAAACATATTTCGAAGTTTTGCATTTTGTGCGCTAGTGTACACAAATTGAAAGAAAAGATAACGAGATTTGTCCATCAATTATGCAGAGTCTTTATAAATCTGTTTTGAAACATGTCGTGTTCTTTCATTCAAATAGTGGGCGTTAAATAAAAGAAATAGCCGGTTAATAATAGTTAATACCATAAGCGATAATAATTTAGTAAAAATAAACTTAAAGTCAGATTAAATATATATTTTATACAATGTTTCAATAATCGAAATTTTAACAAATAGTGTAGAATACTTATACATAGAAGTAAAGAAAAGATAAAAATCCGTTGATTAAAAACCTCTTCATCCATAAATGTCGTAGAAAAGACATGTATATTGTAAAAACAGGTTTATTTTGCTGATTCAAGAATATGTATTACGCACGGGCCTCAACACACCTCATCGATCCCTCATGTGTACAATAATGTGCTAGGGAAATCACCAATTCTTCAGTTTTCACTTCCTTCATCTTTTCACCAATAATGAAATACTATATTTAATTTATCTTACATCTATCAAATAAACCGACGTTCAAAGGACGTGAACAAGATCAGTTCTAAAGTCATCATTATCAATATCAACCCAAATATAAGTCCATTGTCTGCACAACATAGCACACCTGCGTCGAGCACCAAATCTGACTACAGCAATGTAATCATACAGATCAGTATAACATTATTATCTCCAGTAGCATAAGATAAAAGTTGGGCCTCCTGCCACATCTCTAAACTCGAAATTGCCGTTCCCAAAGACGAGATACACCTTTTGGCACGTGCAATGTGGTGCAAGGGCGCGCGATGTCTGACGTGTCTTTCTTGTTTAGCTGCACGTGCGGAAACTTCACCCTGAAAGTAAACAAATGTTAGGAGAGCTGGGCTTGAGAAAATGTTTCTGTATTAACTATTCACAGACTAGTCTAGAGGTCAAATATGCAGTATTTAAAACAACAGCTGAAAACAGTAATAAATAAAACATAATATTTTACTTCATTTTCTCCTTGAAGTCCATGAACCGCTCGTTAATGATAGAAGGAAAGGAGTTGAAATATTTGAGATGGTTCATCTTGAAGGCCCAACTGAGGACGTCAAGTGAGGACAGCTCGTACACTCTACTACAACTCAGCTCCTCCAGTCTGGGACAGTTCTTAGCCAGATAGGCCAGGGCTGAAAGATAAGGGTTTAATTAGAAGGTCCGTTAACATTCACTGTTTTAGAAATGTGTATTATAAATCGGTGTATAAATGCAAATTGAAATTTCATTCAAGATTCAATTTTTCGGTAGCAATTTTTCATCAAAAATAAACGTTCAAATTTTGTCTTATTAACTTGGGGGGGGATGTAACCCAAAAAAACCCAATCCCAGTATGACCTTTTTCAGGGTAGGAGTTGGGTTTTTTTGGGTTTTTTTGGGTTTTTTACAAATTTTTCATTTGAAGGAAATAAAATCATGTAGGCACCTAGCAAAACAATTATCAGTACAACATCACTGTTGTGGTTCATCACTACAACATCACAATAGATATAATCGCTTAAATATCACCCAAAAGCAGTATTTTATTCACTGATGTGCTCAGAAGAAGTTGGCCATCCAGATATGATATCAGCCATATGTAATGCTCACTTCGATGGCCATGGCAAATTGAGTTAGTAGGGACGCAACTCACTGAAGACCCCAACCCTGACCGCAACCGGTACGAGAGGAATAAAGCCTTTCTTCTCACCTTCACGATCTCTGTTTCCGTTTTCCTGATCATCCGCTTAACGAGAAACCATGCTCTTTCTCCAACTGAAAGAATCTTGCAGTTACCATCAGCTGCATGATCACATGTGATATTAAGTGATATCTTCGCTTGTTTATGGCCCTGGAGTCGCTAAAATCTTGACTGGCATGGGATGGCATTCGATCTCGCCCTCCATTGAGGCAAACCTCAACAGCCGTATCATGATGCAGAGCATCACCATACACACTACACAGTTACTATTTTCGCCCATTCCTCTGATGAGTCAATATCCTCCACTTCCTCTTCTTCATCATCTGTTTCCGCTTCGTCACTCTCTGCTCCGTCAGAAGATGGTTGGAAAGCCTCTCCTTCAAAGTTACAGTGTTCTTGAAGGAGTTCTCTACCCCTTGAGACTCCCTTCTTCATAGCTTGTAACAATCTTGGGATTGAAGTATCTTTACCTCTAAATAGTTTCTGCTTTCGGATGCGGTATAACAACAGCTTGTTGCGAGGGTGGGCAACTGTTACAGGGATAAAACTTTTGCCGAGTGCATCAAGCTCGAGGGAACGTTTTGATTTGCCCATGCCAACCAACATATTCTTAGAACACAGATTAGTTCTAATGCCTGCATGGAGGCCTATGCGCAGGAAAGCATAAAGTTTGCTCGCAGGCATCGGATGTAAACAGTCAGGGCATAAAGTGTTGATAACTGTTGTCAGCTGTTACACTGAGAATGTACAGCATCAGACCCTCGAATGTAATAATCGCATCGTCAAAATTTTTACAAGTAGGCAGGTGGTCTTTCAATGGTTGTGTGAAGCTTAGGTGGCCCAAGGCGTCACCGCTGGATAGAAGCTGGGTGGAAGCCCTGGTCTGATGTGAGGCTCCCAGAACTTTGAAAAGGGGTATCCTGCTGGTGCCCTCTTCCAGACACTCATCGGACAGCATGATGAAAGCCACTACCTCCGCGTGGTGAAGACTGGATACTGGACAGGGGGTCCAGGCTAAAGGCAGGACGGTCGACGGGAGACATTGAGCCCCGGAAGTTCAATAATTTGATATATTGACTCCTTAACTCTTGGTCTACAAGAGGCTTTGAGACTCGTAAATCTTTACTGTGGATTGCACAGTAGCTAAAGAGGTGTTGGCTGTTACCCTGTTCAACCTAGTCTACTATGCATACCCAGCTAGACTGGACCACACTCTGGTAGTCAGGAAACGGCTCCCTATGCCCGGGGTACCGGGTAACGAGGTAGTCAAGGGAAGGGTTAGTCCCCGCTAAAGTGTAGCTCTGTTCTCACTCTAACGTCCTTATGCTTTGGGATAAAATCGGAAAGTCCCACACTGGAGCAGGTGACGATTGGGTAAGGATTACAACTGATGCTGTTGGGTAGAAAAAGGAAGTGTCACATGATTTGTCTTGTATAGCATATATGTTCGTGTAATTACATGCTCAAGATACCCAAGATATTATGGTGAGAGTTAAAGATGGCTATTGTTCAAGCGGATGCCCTTAACCTTTTAGTGGCGCAAGAGTTAAGAACACAATCCACTGCCAATGTGCAGGGGACTGCACAGGATTGTGAGCCAACTGAAAAGTCAAGATGAAGTTTATCAACAGCTTAAGGGTTAAAGCCCCTTATTTTTCTAGTGGAAGTGGTTGCCGGGGTAATTACGCTGCTATTACAGAAGCTGATGACTCGGTCTCCACAACACGACAACCTATTTCTACAGAAAGTCAAACAAGAAAACATCAACAAAATATGAACATCAATTGTATTGTATCATGTAAAAGGACTGCTAAGGTTAGCACATTTAACATAAGAACAGCCAGAGAACAGCACAAACGCATTGAACTTGCAGAACTATTTTCTCGAAGCAAGCTGCACATCCTTGCCCTGCAAGAATCGAACATCGGGTAGTGCATGCTGATTGCTGAGAATACCAGAATAGAAAAGATGAACAAAGGGATTCATCCAGTGATCTCATCTGCGTGGAGAAACGCAGCTGGCGCTTCTAATGGGAGAGTAGAAATCATCTTGACGAGGACAGCAGCGCATATGAGGCTATAAGTCTTATAAAGTTATAAAATCTTACAGCGCAAGGATGCTCACCATGTCTCTTAATGGAAAGCCCAGGCTCACTGTCATCACATGCTACAGTCCTACAGAAGCCTCATCTGATGAGGAGGCATGAAATCTTTTTTGTCTAAAACCAAGCCTCTTACAGTTAATTTAGTAGGAGAGGAGCCACACACAATAATTTCTAAAGTTCTAAGGACGGACATGCCTTAGAAGAAGTTGAGGATTTTAGTACAACGGAGCACGACTTTAGGTTATGCAAGGCCAAGGCATGGGCTGCCTACCACAAAATGTAGGCTATATGGAGGTCCAATTTGCGCCGAGATTTAAAGATCCGTCTGTTCAAGCTACGGTTGAATCAATCTTCCTGTATGGAACGAAAACGTGGACAATAACAGAATCTTTGAAGAAAAGAATAGACGGATGTTATAGTAGAATGCTTCGGATGGCCCTAAACGTGGACTGGATAGGACATCGCACCAACAAGGAGGTCTTTGGATCACTCCCAAGAGTTATTTTGAAGATACAGGCCAGAAGAATGAGGTTGGCTGGGCACATCCAGCGACATGATGACCTGGCAGCACACCAACTTCTCCTTTGGGAACCTAGGGAGGGGTAGACCACCGCTCACCTTCGTCGATAACCTAATAAGTGACACTGGACTCAAGAACACTGGAGAGATTAAGGAGCTTATGGCGGACAGAAAGCTTTGGAGACACATCATCGAGACTCGGACTCTGAAGCCGCCTTAAGTCAAGTCATTTAAGTCATGTGCTTTGACTTGCCCAATGCCCTTGACCTTCGTCATAGCCTCCTTCCATGACAGGAGAACACATTTGCCACGTTTGGCACATTTCCACTTTGTGCATTCATATGGATTATATCTCGATGAACGTGACATCCTGTTTGCTATCGTGATAACATACTATCAATATAATTATAAACACACTTATATACTATGTAAACTATCTATTAAGTTAAGACATGAGAACAACACGTAGGTAAGACTCAGTGGGAAATAATTCACATTCAATACAATTAATGAAATGGATAGAATTTTGTTTAAATTTTGTTTAAAAAACCCAAAAAAACCCAAAAAAACCCAATCCCAGTATTACCTTTTCTTGGGTAGGAGTTGGGTTTTTTTGGGTTACACCCCCCCCCAACTTGGTTAGGTTTCATCAGATTATAATGAATGCATCGTAAATTTATGCTACATTTGAAATTTAAACCTCAGGTGCTAATTCGGACTAAAAGTAACATGATACACCCCTGCTTTTCCGATAGAATTAGTTTTGCTCTGTTTTGACGAATTCATGATTGAAAGTTTACCATTGTCGTTGACATTTGAGATTCTTTTCCTGGTTCAATTAATTGTCAATTGTAACGACATGTTAGGTAACCATTAACGATATTAATAAAGTTATCAAGGAGTTTCTCTCTCGAACCTATACATAATATATATAATATAGTATATACCTATACATAATATATATATACCTACTCTATACAATATATATATTTACGCTATAGAATGGACAGAGTTCGTGCAATATTGTTGTTTGTGTTACTCTCACTAGTGCATGCATCCTGCCAACTCTCAGGTAGGAATTACAGAAAAACATGCACAGTTTGTAGTCAAATTGTTATAACCCAATTTTTACCCGATCCACTGATTCTGGTAATAACTAACTTTTTATCGGGTAAATTATTCAGATTTCTCAGAGACGAGGGCTACAATAGAAGCAAACACAACCCAAACAGCAAGCACAAGAAGTACGTATCATTCTCATTGACAGATAATCAGAGTCCTTTAGAAACCACATTTATGGTTGTTAAGTAACTAAACTGATTTTTAGCTCCCAGCGAATGATAGGATAATAAATAAACTGTAAGAGGACTTAAGCACCTTTTTCATGGTACATGTTGAAGTGTCCCTATTTGAAATAGATTATTCGGAAGGACTCTACTGAGCTAGAACAAGAATTTTTAATTCTTACGGGAGTCGGTTCATTTAAATTCCACAGAACGCAGAAGTACCAAATGTTTCACCGCTCACTTAAGGACACGTGGGCCAGTCCTGACACAGGTTAAATTTACTACTACTGAGAACTGCAAAGAACTGTGCCTTGCTACTGAGGGGTACGTTAAAGATTATTCAAATGTGGATTCACAGATCGCATAGATCACTTCCTATAGATTTAACAACCTCCTTTGTCAAATCTTTCTATAGCTTCCGTTGAGAAATAGCTCTACTCTTCTAGATGCCAGGCGGCAGTAACCAGCCCACAGTATTGGTATTACAGAGAGTGTTTTGTAATAGGGGAGTACACCTTGACTACAGAGAATGCTTTTAAGTGG